AAATAGACAATCGCAACGAAACTTACCATCAGGAATTTTTGCTTAGCATTTGCACAAACCGTTGACAAACCGGTTTCTCCGTGTAAATGGTAAATGTTTAAAAAGCTCATAACTTAGACTTAGTGGAATATGTTTTCTCGCGCTTTTCTCTAGTTACATCTTTCTCTTCCAGTCGGTCTCATTGGGTTTTTCGCTTCCATCCGCCTAGGATGCGTTAATGTTATCCTCCCAAACATGCTGAAAAATCGCAGATTTCTGCGAGTAGCACAGCGCTTTTCCACAAGCGTATTGCACCTCGCGGGAAGCAAAGGCCATGTCCTTTAACCTACTCTAGAAAATAATCAACAGAAAAACCATAAAATAACGTGATCGTACTTCTAGAATTTGATCGCCAGCCCAAAGTCTGCCATCTTTAGCCGCCGCCCCATCTTCATACACTTCATGGATGACGATGGCGCCCTGAAAAATGATCATGAATCAGTTGACGAATTCTCTATACCACATCTATACATTCCTTTTATAGTTACTTCTGAGAATTTAGTGCAACATCAGTACCGAAAGTGCGACTTACCAGCAGCGTATCTGCGCCGCCAACTATACTCAGCCCGAGGCCTGTGTTGCCTTTAGGAATTTCTATCACACATTCTTGACCGGGAATGATCGGTGTAGTGCGGGGATCTGGGGGCGGGGTTAATGTCGGCGAAGCAGCTGTGTACAAAACATAACCAAGAAAAGAATTCGTCAATTCCCAAAACCCTCGTAAATGGCAACCTACTGACTAGTTTAGTAAGGCAATCGAAGTGAGCAAGGTTGTTAAAAAAAACTTACGTGCTGCTTCTCTGGGAGACTGCTGGACAATCTGAACTACAGGCTCAAAAGCTTGCGGTTGTACTGGTTCACTTCCCGATGCCACAGGACTTCCTGTCGGCGCACTTCCGGTCGGCAAACTTCCGGTCAGCGCACTTACGCTTGGCAAACTCTCATAGGCCTTTTTTGACCACTGAAGACTCTCTGCTTTCCTCGGACTTTCGGGTTTTTCTGGTTCTGATATAGATCCCCTGACTGGTTTCTTGGCAACAGGAGGTCCTTTCTTGTGAACACGAGGACTTCCGGTCTCCCTCCTCGGGGAAACACTGGAGGATGTTGGTTTATCGGAAGCAGGTGGACTTCCGACAAGTGCCTGTTTCCTAGCAACCACAAGTGACACTTTCCCCTTGGTTCTCTTCAATATAACAACGGCCTGTAAACAGATATGTCGTCAGAAAAGTTTAGCGTGAACAGTTAACATATGTTACCACAATCATCACTTATAAATGTTACGTCACATTATTTACCTCAGCATGAGTCAGTCCCACTATGGGCTGATTGTCCACTGCGATCAGTTGATCTCCTTTTCTAAGTCGGCCGTCCTGAAGAAAAGCAGAAAAGGATAACTTTCAAACGTCATTTTTTTCTCGCAGAATCACGAATCGAAGAATTGATTGAGCGCACGGTTTGCCAGCTGCAGCGAGGTCTCTAGGCAACATAACATTGCACATGCCAAGGTACCGCCAAAATTGCCATTTCCACAAACACTTAGAAGTCTGAAAGCTTTGTAACACACATATTTGTTGCCTTGTAATTCAACAACACAAGCTCATGGAATTGATGTACCTTTTGAGCAGGGCCTCCCTCAGTGATGTCCTTCACATAAATGCCCGTCTCGCCCTCACCAAATCCTGGGCCTTCTACTACAGCGAATCCAAGACCGGTCGCACTCTGTCAGAGACAAAAATCTTGACGTTAACAAAATTAGACTTCTAGACACCAACACGATTTTATTTCTGACAGCAGCCAGAAATGAGAAAAACGCCCTTTAATTTGTTACTCACTTTAATCATTTTGTTGTTATTCGGATAATTTCAGCGTTTGGGTTGAACCAAATAACAATTTTACGAGTAAAATTCACTGTCAACACACCTTAACAAAGTCAATAACCTCAACCTTCTGACCCCCCGAGAGTTCCTTCAAAAGCGTGGGTGAAACAGCGATACCCTCTGCAACCGGTGGAGGACTGGAACTAGGGCTAGGACTTGACCGTCTGGGACTTCCGGTCTCTCTTCGTTGTGCTGAGGGTGACGACTCGACGGTGCGAATATTAAGTGGTTTCAGTTCGGGTTCGAACCACTGATGGCCTCTGGGAGATTCTTGAGCCGGCGGTGTCCTGGATCGACTAAGGAAATCAGCGGCTTCTTGTGACCGACCTAACACAAGTTGAACATCTGGTGGGGTGTTCTGTGAGTTGAGAAGAAAAATATATGGTACATGTATCAACTCTGTGCCATTCACAACGAAAATGTTTTACGTACATGTTGGCCATTTTGGCAAAGGAGGGCTATTCATAACCTTTATGTCCACTTTGGAGTGCGTTTTTAAAAAGAAACATCCGTTTGCAAATAAAAAAGAAGTAAGAAAGTGTAGAAGGGCCTTAAACGTTTTGAAAGCGACTTCCACGAAGGTTGTTGAGAATGGCGCGTTTTCATCTAACGAAAACGAGTTTATCAGCCGTAATTTTACACTTCGACTTACCTTCAGGATTGCGGAGGCCTCGTAATGAGTTAACCCTCTAATGGAGACTTCATTAACCTCCAGGATCTCGTCAGCTTGTTGGATTTTTCCATTCCTCTCCGCTGGCCCGCCTGGCTTGACGTCCACCACAAAAATGCGATTTGCCGCTGCGCCTTTGCCGCCCGCGATACTCAAACCTTGTAAAGAATAACAAGAAAAACAGGTTATAAACAGGATTCTCACCAGTGAAAGCAGTAGGACCTAATTGCGAGTGTCAAAACATTAGCATTTCCCTCGACTCGACAAGAGCTTGTTGGGAAAGAACTGTTTTTACTTACCTAATCCTGTGCCTCCTTTCACGAGATCCGCGAAAATAAAGTCGCCAGTAACATCCGGGTATTTTATCCTTAGTTGTCCTGGAAACGATATACAGCAAGTAAAAATGTTGACAAATGAAGTAAAGTAAGCAAACTATGTTAAGAGACACGCGTCACACATCACGTGGTACGTTTTCCTGTACCACGTGATCCTTTCTTCTTTTTTAACTCCAACCTCGTCTCAAGGTAGAGGCAATGTATCACGTGATGCAGGGGGAGGGGCTGAAAGGAGTGCGCGCATTGTCCTCGCGCGTGCCTCCTGCGTCTTACCTCAAATACTGACTTATTAGACAACCCAATAAAATCAAGGGGCTAACTTACGTTTTCTATCCTCTTCGCTCCTGACCACATTAAAACGAGGTGGTAGATTTATCAGCTTGCTCTCAATCTCAGCTTGCACACCGTCAGTCTTGACAACGGTTGTGATTGGTTCCTCCAACTCGTCAGCTGTCAGATTTTTGGCGGGGATTGGAATGTCTTTTCTGAGCGACTCATCTGAAGGTAAACTACCTGCCTCGGCCGAGGGCCTGGCACTGGTCACCGTCACACTACTGGGCTCCACCTTGTAAGAGAAGAGACAAAGATCCTATTTACTAACGAAAAGCACTCCCCACGAAATTTCGTATGTTCTCACACGGAAACGGGGGAGGGAGAGACCTTTCGCAGGAGAACAACTAACATCTCATACATGTATAATGAACTATGCTTTTGACATCAAATACGCCATATACCCTTAAATCCGGGTTATATCACCCCTCCCCCCCGCCTCTAATTCTGCTAATACGCCCAGGCTCTGGTTACTGGTTATTGCGTCAGCTGTTAGGAGTAATGTTAGAAGAAGGGTCCAAATGACAACAATTAATCACAGAGCATATTAGTTTAAGTTATTTTTTCAAGCCTTTGTTGGGTCTCCCCCGACCCCACCTACTTTGGAATATGCTCCTCAAGTTCCAAAGCCCACCCATATCCCCTCTCAAAGTTACATAAGCCCATGGCTAACCGAGATTTCACGGGACATCTCAGGGCTTCAGTACCAAGATGAAATCTTATTTTAACGTAATAAGACGCGACAAAGTTTTTATAAAGTGATTAACAATGTACCGCACTGTTCTTGTTCAGTTTGGCGTTAGCATATCTCGGTGAAATCAAATTAGAGCTTAATTGTAAGCCTTGTAACACTAGACGCGACGAATACAATTAATACAAAGACCTACAACTAAAGCAAAATAAATGCAATACAATGAGAGAGTCACATAAGATTTTCAAACCATACAAAATGTCAGTTGTTAAGACGTCATCAATTGTAATCCGCTTGTAAGTATATTATTTAAATCGTTTTGAAGTCTTAATTTACGCGTAAAAGACTCTGTTTAAAAAATATTGAAAAGGAAAAAAAGTACCGAAGCAAAAATGATACGAAAATCCTTATAAAACTCTTTAGCATCAAAACACTCAATATAGCTAATGTACAACTGCGATGGTCGACGAAATACTCGGAAGCTGATCTCTTGTAATTTACCTTAAAAGTTACAACACGTTAGCCAAACAAGGTACAAATATATCCTGAAATACTCAAGTACGAACACGCTTCATAAAAGGAGTATTATTTTAGTTATTACCTCAGAGATGTAGCTTCTGCCCAGTTTTAATCCCTTCGATTTGCCAAAACGAAACGGCATTTTACAACGACGGAAAAATCCACTTATCCGTGAAGATTGCAGCAGCTCTGTTATTGTTCGCTACGAAAGTTTTGTTGCAATATTTCACGCAAATGACGCGTTGTCTTCCGTTCTTACAGTTGATGTGTTTTGATTTTTGCCGAATAACATACGTTTCCAATCTGTTTCTTCCTCCATTGAAACGCTGTAGAAAATTATAATAAATCCAATATATCTTATTGCTAAAACGTGATCTTTTCTCGATAAATCTCCATCAAAGACCCCGAAATTTAACACTTGTCGGAAATAAATCTTATCTCTCGGGCAGTTATCAAATTTATCCACCTTTTCTTTTTATTTCACTCTGTTAAGCGCAAAAATAATAATATTTCTATTTCAACCGAAACTTTTTGTTTTCTCTTCCCGTAATTGACAATCAAACGCAGAACTCTCCAATTGGAAAAGAGAATCTCAATTAATTAATAACAAGCAATTAATCATTAACGAGTTTAGGCTAAACCAAACACAAATCTTTGTAGAAGATTTTTTTTTTTACACCGACCTAAACCTGTTGCCAAAGATCGGCAAAAAATCATTAAGACAATTCTCGACATCAACAATAGTCCTCGCTATATTGTGTTCTCAGCTTAAACATTTTCTCTAGTCCAATTCTGAGAAACCAAACGCATACTAAAAAACGGAAATCATGGATAATTGCCNTGTGGAAGGAAAACAATCATATGATGCGTTTTCAGAGTGAAACCTCCGTTTTCAAATTCCTCCGGCGTAATGTGAACAGGGCATCATTCTCCAACTGAAAACCCGAGTCACAAACAATCCACTTACCCAGTTTTCCAACCATCTGTCTTCGAATAGTGATAGTCTCAATTCTTGATTTAATATTATCAGGTAAACTGTCCATATCAATGGAGTCTCCTGAAAACAACAGCGGCGGTCCAAAGTCAAACTTTGATGACTGTTCACTTTCGCTACCACTAGACTCGTTATCACTCTCCTTTTCAACTTCAATATCACCCATCAGGGCGGCCTGTTGGTCTGAAAAAAAAAAATACACAGTTACAGGTGAAGGAACAAATCAAACAGCAAAGAGCATTATTTACAGTGTAGTGTTTTCGAGTCATTTGACGAAACCCAAGTGTGTGACTATTCAAATAAAAGCTTTTGAGCGGTAATGTAGTGTTGTTTATTTTGCTTACCACGGTAGACCTACATTCATTTGTAACTTTGAAGTCTTTGGATGAAACCTTAGTGTGTGACCATTCAAATGAAAGCTATTGGGCAGTACTTTCAAGTGGTACTGTGTATTATGCTGAAAAAGGTGGTTCTAACTTTTAAGTCTGGAGATCAAACTCTAGTGTGTGACCATTGCAATCAAAGCTGTTGAGTAGCTCTTTCATTTGGTACTGTGTATTATGCTGTAAAAGTGACTCGCCATTGTATCTCGCAGTGTCTGGTGGGCTCTCCTCGTATTCTTCATCGTCATCAGGCAAAGGTATTGGCCTGGCCACACCAATTCTAACTTTACCTGGAAGGTAAGGAGAATATTTAAAGTGAACAAAAAAACAAACGAAAGAAACTTCTGCATCACAGCCATCACTCTGCAATTAAAATGATTAACAAAAACCTTGCAATGCACTTCGAAGTCCTCTAACTTCTTTTCATTAACAAGCAAACGAACCAGGGGTTAACTTGAATTGTCAAACAAAATAAGAAAGACTATCAACAAAATACCATTTCCATTCCTGGCTATGAGTTATTAACACTGACCTTTTGGCGTTCCTTTGAGTGTCTCAACAGCAAAACTGAGTGAGGAATGTTCCAGGTTGGTATCGTTAACAGACATTAGACGGTCCACTGGCTTCAGGCGGCCATCTTGATCTGCCACACCTCCAGGTACCAGGCTCCGGATCACAATCACGGTCTTCTCAGGGGAGACTGGATCCTAACAATGGAAAAGTATCAAGAAAATTTTTAGTCAGCAATTACAGGTACATAAAAAATGTCCTGTCAAATTTATACGTCAATTAAGTTTCCAAGGGTACTGAGGTGAGAAAACTGGACAATAATGACAGTCCCACATTGCTATTATTTACTAACTGTTTTTGCAGACACTATCAAGCTGTATTAAACATGATTTACCATGTTACATTGCACAGTAAGCCTGAGATTAAACACGCTACTCAAACAAAAGCAATAAGCTTTAGTCGCACCAAACTGACACAAATTTAACTACCATGACACTCTTTCTGTGTCATCACACACGTGTGTCTGGAGTATTATCATTTCAATTTGTTTGTCCGGTATATGAAACTCACCTTGTAATCCAAGATACTAAATCCCAGTCCTCTATCCCCTTTTTCCAGATCCACATACTCAATCTCCTCAGTCCACATGGACTGCGACATAGTGGATTCATTGAACCCAGTGGGACTTGGGCTATCAGGCAAGGCAGACAGCATGGGGCTTGGAGTCGTTATATCCATGTCAACATATCCATCATCTTGAAAATATAGTATAGCTATTATTACTAACAGTGTAATAATAACAGAGAGTGTCTTGTTCCTATATGTTATAGTGTAGCGGGTGAGAAGGCTCTCATGTTTGGGCTGGGGACACTAGAGTCATGCATGTGAGATGAGACTAGCTGGTCCAGTGCACAGAGCTCACTATCAAGTCGAGTCGGGTCTAGTTTCTAAGGTCTCCCATGTCATTCTTAGACTTGCTTGTGTGCCAAAGCCAAAGACCGGGAAGCAGCACTTAAGTGAAAAATTCTGACACTGGAGCTCGCTCACAGACTAGTTACAGCGCACCATACACATTAAAAGTGTTAGCTTTTACCATGAGCAAAGACACACTGCACCCTATACACCCCTCTCCAACACAACCCACGTAACATGGACTAAAATCCTCTGATTGACATGTTCTCTCACCTGGTCTCCGACTCTCATTTGGTGGGCTTTCCATGTCCAACTCAGCCTCTGCTGTGATTGGTTCATCCTCTGTCAAGTCACGTTTCCTAGCAACTACCAATCGAAAGTCCATTGGCAATCCTTGAATCAGTGCAACAACTTCTGAATGACTTAACTCAAGGACACTGACACCATTCACCTTTGAGGCAACAGAAATGATCAAAGAAAGAATGAGAATCTAGCAAGCAAGGAAATAACAGTTATAGTCATACAATTTTTTTTTTCTTGGACAATTTTGTCCAAGGGGGAAAGGTGTAATGAGGTTAATCCTATATGAAGCACCACCCCAAGAGACAAGGCCAGACCACAACAATGCGAACTCTGTGCCCTTTTCTTTAAATAAGTGTGAAACCAGTCACACATATCACTGAGCTTTATAGGCACCAAATCCATGCAAAGAAAGAAGTCAAGTGGTGACCCTTTGCATGCACGAAGGGGATTCAATGAAAGCAGACACTCGACCTACAGGGTATAACATATGTACATGATGATTTAGTTATCCCAAGTCTTTACCTCCACTAGATGATCACCAGGTTGAACAATTCCATTCTTTCCCACAGGACCCTCAGGACTGACAGCATGTACTCTGTGCCATGGCAGAGAACCATCTGCAAAAATTGTAATAATTACTAAGGTGGTTAAGTCCGTTTTTGGGTGCCATGGTTAATCAGAGTATTTTTGGGCTAGTGGGATGTGGAATGAAATGTACTGTAATTGGTGCAGCAATATGTATACCTATATTTACCACATAAAATTTATTTGTAATACACTGTAAAGTACTGCAATGTTATCAACTGTAGTGCCAAAACCTGACCATTAAGAAATCTTTGTCTATTTAGTACAGAACACTTTTCCATTTCTTTGGTCAGTGACACAAATAAAAACTGGAGTGCATGTACCCGTACAGTGCAGCTCAGATATAAGCGAACTACGCATACGCGTATCATACGAGCATATTTTGCGTATACGCGTATGTCAATACGC